GTTTCCTTCGGGTACTCCAGTTTCCTCCCACAGTCCGAAAGATGTGCAGGTTAGCTGGATTGGCCTTGCTAAATTACCCAAAGTGTTCAGGGTCATAGGGGTGTGGGTCTGGCTGGGATGCTCTGAGGGTCGGTGTGGACTTGTTGGGCTGAAGGGCCTGTTCCCACACTGTAGGGATTTTCTGATTCTCTGATTCCTAATCTTCCAAATTAACTTCTACTCGATGGTTCCAAATCACAATAAAAAATTGCTGAATTCAAATTCATTTACAATGCGGTTCTGGAGGAATTGTATATTGTAGGGCAGTTTATATTTTAGAAAATCTGCTGTTTTCAATGTAATTTTGTTCCATGGATGACATAAATACAGAATTTTATGTTTTATTGTTGCTGTTCACTAGGTGAGTTCCTTGTCGTTGGACCTGCTGAACCTGTTGAAGCCACAGTGGGTGAAGATGCCCTGTTGGAATGCCAGCTTGTGCCAGATTTATCTGCCAGCAACATGTTGGTGCAGTGGTTTAAATCAGGTCTAGATTCACCAGTTCATGTGTACAGACATGGGGAAGATGATGCTGCTGCTCAGCACAGGAATTACAGAGGAAGGACAGAACTGTTGAAAAATGAACTGACCCAAGGAGCCATTTCTCTTCGAATAAAGAACACAACAGTTTTTGATAGAGGGGAATACAGATGTTTAGTTAATAGCGGAACCAATTCTGAAGAAGCTGCAGTCATATTGAATGTCATAGGTTTGTACACCTCAGTAACTTTGGAGAAGTGATATGTCTCTGAGTTCTAAAAGCCCAGTTTAAATTAATTAATATTTTAACATTGAACAATTAAATTAATTTAACATTTGTAATATATCAATATGAAATAAGGTGTGGGAACATTGGACAAGAGTAGGCCATGCAGCCCATTGAGCCTGCTGTCCCATTCAGTTAGATCACAGCCGGTCATCTAACTCAATACAACCTTCTTGCTCCATCACCGTATCCATTGATGTCTTTCGTAACCAGAAATCTACCGGTCTCTATCTTGACTATTCTGAATTTCCACGGTCTCGAGGGTAGAGAGTTTCAGAGACTCACTACCCTCTGAGTGAAGATATTGCTCTTCATCGTAGACTTAAATGGTGTACTGCTTATTCTGAGGATGTAAGTGAACCAGATGAATTTTTACCATGACTAATGCTCATTTCATGGTCATTATTAAATGTTTGAGGACAGCCGATTCAGGCACCAGCATGTGTTATATCCTTTTTATATTTTTGTTTGATGTTCAATTGTCACAGACCAATCAATGCTGCTGTCCTCAGACAACTCACTAACCCGAATGGCTCCTAGCTCTATGCCCTGAAAAGTGGTGAACGTCCCTGCTTGGTGTACTGGCCCTATTAGCCCTTCTAGATATGACACTGATGCTTGCAATACACATAAATGTTTTGGATAAACATTGGTCTGATTGGTACATTTGTAGATGACTCAAAAATTGGTGGAGTTGTGGAACATTATCAAAGGATACAGCAGGATATAGATCAATTGGGTGGAGAAATGGCAGATGGAGGTTAATCCAGACAAGTGTGAAGTGATGCATTTTGGGAGGTCAAAAGCAAGATGAAAGCATAAAGTAAATGACAGGACCCTTCGGAGCATTGGTATACAGAGGGATCTTGAGGTGTAAGTCTATAGTTCCCTGAAAGGGGATAAATAAATGAATAAGGTAGTAAAGAAGGCGTACTGCATGCTTGCCTTCATTTGTCAGGGCATTGAGTATAAAAGTTGGCAAGTCATTTGCTGTACAAGACTTTAGAGAGGCCACATTTGGAGTTTTGTGTGCAGTTCTGGTCGCCACACAATAGGAAGGATGTGGAGGCTTTGGAGAGGGTCCAAAAGAGGTTTGCCAGGATGTTTCCTCGATCGCTGCATATTCACTATAAGGTGAGCTTGGACAAATTTGGATTGTTTTTGCGACAGCACCAGAGGCTGAGGAGCGACCTGATGAAAGGATATAAAATTATGGAAAGGGTGGATAGTTGGAGTCTTTTTCCCAGTGTGGAAATGTCAAATACCAAGGTTTAGCTAGGAGGGAAAAAGTTTAAAGGAGATGTGCAAGGCAAGATCTAATCAGGGGGTGGTAGGTGCTTGGCACTATCTGCCAGGGTGAAACTGTTGTTGAAGTTTCTAATGATTGACTACAGGAGTTTTGAGTCCAGGTTTTATGATCAAATATTGAGGCAAAAACAGGGAGAGTATACTCCACACTAGGCTGAATGAAACTCAGTGGAATACAAAAAATTAATGACCATTTCCGTCACACAGACATCTCTTTACCTAAATTCCAAACTCGTCTGCTACAAATACTGCGAAACAGACTTCTCCAGTCTCCGGTTAATATCTTATTCACCCAATCAGTGACCGTTTAACCTGATCCGAGCCTGACTTGCATGTACTGTTTGCTCCATTCCTTATCATATACATCCATCTTCTCTGTCTTCTCATCACTTATGACTCCCAAGGCCTCTCGGGATAGTTTTGCTGACACTGGCACTATGGTATACAAGGTTTGACTGGAGAATGTCACATACTGTGAACATAGAAATCACCATTTAACCCTTGGAGCCGCACTATCATCGCAAACTGATATCCCGAGTAGATTGCTGGGTCAAAGCACTGTTACTGTTACAATGACCTGACCCTCATACATAAATAACCCCATTCCCTGGTCTTCAAATGGAGTTAAAAAATGATGAAAATAGTAAACAGAAGTTTGAAAATTCTTTGGTGTCACCTTACTCTTTCTGTAAAGTTCATTTTTCCTCATGTATAATTGTTTAGAAATTTATAGAGTTTTTTGTCTCACTGCTTTTCTGTTTTCCTCTCATTTTAAATGATGTTTAGCTGGAGTACAATTCTGTGCCAGTTAATTAATCTGAATGAGTGTTATCTGTTGTGTCATCACAATTCTATCTGGACATATTCTCAGATAAAATGTAGTTCATAATCGCATTAAAGTCAGTGAAAAGCAGTGATTAGATACCTATCAATAACATTAAATAACCAGTTCTAACAGGCTACAGGAAGTGTTCCTAATGTTTGTAGTTTCTGAATCTATTCTCTGCTGATTCCAGGTTTGGGTCATAGGCCCTGGATTCACATGAAGGGATACCATAAAAACGGAATCCAGCTTGTGTGTAAATCCAGTGGATGGTTCCCTCAGCCAGAAATCCAGTGGATCAGTGAAGATGGACCTGTTTTATCACAAGCTGAACCAAGTTATGATGAGGACTCCAATGGTCTTGTAAACGTCCAGAGCATCATTGTCATTGCAAAACATTCAACAAACAGGTTCAAGTGTCGTATACGCTATGAACATTTGGGAATTACACAAGAAGCACAAATCAGGATCTCAGGTTTGTAAATCAGAATGTTTAATCAAGAAAGTTAAAGGTAATTTAAAGTCTGCCATAGATTGCATCTTGTGTTTAACTGTCCCCAAGATGCCCTCACATGGCAATCCATTCACTCAGTGAGGGAAAATAAGTCACTGAGCTACATTAGGAGATACTAAATCACAGGACTAAATGCTTGGTTAAAGAGATAGGTTTTAAGATTTTCCTTACAGTGGGAAAATAGGATAGAGAGCTGGAGGGATTTAAGGAATCGTTTTGAAAGCTTGGGCCCTGTCAATGTAAGGTGTGGACACTATTGTGGAGTACTTACCACTGGGGTTGGTCTGGTGGCCAATATTAATGAGTGGTGATGCCTTGGAGGGTTTGGGGATGGAGGAGGTTACAGAGATAAGGAAGGCAAGGGCATGGAGGAACTTGTAAACAAACATGAGAATTTTAAAATCAAGATGTTGTTTAACCGATGGAAGTCATTGTCGATCAGGAAAAAATAATTCTTCCTAATATCTCTTCATTTGACCTATTGTCCATTGTTATCAGATTACTGCTTTGTGAAACACTTTAAAATTCGTTAAACGTAGCGTAGAAAAGGATAATTTACAAACATAGGCCTCCAGCATTTGCTTGCTGCCTATGTGTCTCTGTACGTGCTGTAATACCCCAGCCCCTGGTCTCTGCAACTGACTCCCCCAGAATTCACAGCATCAGGGATGCAGTCACAAATTAAAAGGGTTTGGATGTGGCTCAGGACTAATGAGATAAACACAGGAAATGCTGAAGAAACTCCACAGGTCTGGCCCTGTCTATGAAGTTTCTCTCTCCATAAATGCTGACACACTTGCTGAGTTTCTACAGCACTTTCTGTGTTACCTTGTTTCAGATTTCCAGCATTCACTGTATTTTGTTTTTATTTGACACTTTTGAAACACCTTCCCAGGCAGAGAGGTCAAGTTCGCTCCGATTATTGGGCCCACGAGTTCTGGAATACAAATGCACAGATAGAATTTAAATTGTTTATTCATAAAATAATTTATTTTGATTTGCAAATGTTGTGCCAATGCCAATGTTAAATTCTTTGCCTTTATAGAGAGAACCATAATAAAGATCAGTGGCAATGATTGAAATGGGCAGGGACTCCACCCCCAATTGGTTATTTGACACTTTCAGTGTTGGTGTTTCTGGGTATTTCAGTGGAACCCACTGATTTTAAATCAGGAGACTCTTGGAAGGACTCTGCACATCTCATACACATTCACCACTAGTAAATATTTTGTAATAATAATGCACACGCTGCACAAAATGTAGTTGTATAACTCACTTGTATTCACTTTACAGACGATATCTTCCCTGGTGATTGGCTGGCACCTTTACTCGTGACCCTCTGTTGTGTGATTGCTGGCATCGCTGCTGTGATTTATTGGAGTGTGAAACACCATCGACAGATTAAAGGTACAGTCTCAGTGTAACACTGACTAAAGACAATAAAGGTACAAGCCTGGAAATCCACAGGGCGATCTCACAGTCTCCATCATTAAGCTGTAAGACATAAACAACCCTGTCGAATTTCAGGACCACAGCATTACTCCAATCCATTGTGTGTTTCAGTGTTAACTTTTTGGGGAATGGTGGTGTGAAGAGTTGATCACATTGAAATTAAGGATAAAGGAATAGTTGTAATTCCCATTCTCTGGCTGAATAGAATATGCTCCTTTAATAATTCTTAAACAGATGCTACCTGTTGAATATTTTATTATTATTCTTCTTCTTGTAAATATGCACAACATTTTCTTGGGCAAATGTGAAGCTGAAATAATCCAGGAAGTACCAACAAATCGAGCTGCATTTCACCATTTCAGCTGTAAGATAAAACACACAGTGCTGGAAAAACACAGCAACTCTGACAGCGTCTGTGGAGAGAAAAACAGAGTTAGTGTTTTGAGTTTAATGTAACTGTTGTTTGGAACTGAACAGAGGTGGAAATGTGAGACAACAAGGTGCAGGGCTGGATGAACACAGCAGGCCAAGCAGCATCATAGGAGCAGAGAGGCTGACGTTTCGGGCCTAGACCCTTCATCAGAAAAGGGGGAGGGGAAGGGGGTTTTGAAATAAATAGGGAGAGAGTGGGAGGCGGATAGAAGAGGGATAGAGGAGAGGATAGGTGGAGAGGAAACAAACAGGTCGAAGAGGCGGGGATGGGGCCAGGAAAGGTGAGTGTAGGTAGGGAGTTAGGAAGGGGATAGGTCAGTCCAGGGAGGACGGACAGGTCAAGGGGGCGGGATGAGGTTGGTCGGTAGGAGATGGAGGTGCGGCTTGAGGTGGGAGGAGGGGATAGGTGGGAGGAAGAACAGGTTAGGGAGGCAGGGACGAGTTGGACTGGTTTTGGGATGCGGTGGGGGGAGGGGAGATTTTGAAACTTGTGAAATCCACATTGATACCATTGGGCTGCAGGGTTCCCAAGCGGAATATGAGTTGCTGTTCCTGCAACCTTCGGGTGGCATCGTTGTGGCACTGCAGGAGGCCCAGGATGGACATGTCGTCTGAGGAATGGGAGGGGGAGTTGAAATGGTTCGCGACTGGGAGGTGCAGTTGTTTGTTGCGAACCGAGCGTAAGTGTTCTGCAAAGCGGTCCCCGAGTCTCCGCTTGGTTTCCCCGATGTAGAGGAAGCCACACCGGGTACAGCGGATGCAGTATACCACATTGGCAGATGTGCAGGTGAACATCTGCTTGATGTGGAAAGTCTTCTTGGGGCCTGGGATGGGGGTGAGGGAGGAGGTATGGGGGCAGGTGTAGCACTTCCTGCGGTTGCAGGGAAAAGTGCCGGGTGTGGTGGAGCTGGAGGGGAGTGTGGAGCGGACAAGGGAGTCACGGAGAGAGTTGTCCCTCCGGAAAGCAGATAAGGGTGGGGAGGGAAAGATGTCTTTGGTGGTGGGGTCGGATTGCAGATGGCGGAAGTGTCGGAGGATGATGCGTTGGATCCGGAGGTTGGTGGGGTGGTACGTGAGGACGAGGGGGATTCTTTTTTGGTTTTTATTGCGTGGACGGGGTGTGAGGGATGAGGTGCGGGAGATGTGGGAGACACGGTTGAGGGCGTTCTCGACCACCGAGGAGGGGAAGTTACGGTCCTTGAAAAACGAGGACAACTGAGATGTACGGGAGTGGAATGCCTCATCCTGGGAGCAGATGCGGCGGAGGCGAAGGAATTGGGAATAGGGGATAGCATTTTTGCAGGAAGGTGGGTGGGAGGAGGAGTATTCTAGGTAGCTGTGGGAGTCGTTGGGCTTGAAATGAATATCGGTTTCGAGGTGGTTGCCCGATATGGAGACAGAGAGGTCCAGGAAGGGGAGAGAGGTGTTAGAGATGGTCCAGGTAAATTTAAGGTTGGGGTGGAAGGTGTTAGTGAAGTGTATGAACTGTTCGAGCTCCTCGTGGGAGCACGAGGCGGCGCCGATACAGTCATCAATGTAACGGAGGAAGAGGAGGGGTTTAGGGCCGGTGTAGGTACGGAAGAGGGATTGTTCCACGTAACCTACAAAGAGGCAGGCGTAGCTTGGGCCCATGCGGGTACCCATGGCTACCCCCTTTGTCTGTAGGAAGTGGGAGGAATTGAAAGAGAAGTTGTTGAGTGTGAGGACGAGTTCGGCTAAGCGGATGAGGGTGTCAGTGGAGGGGGACTGGTCGGGCCTGCGGGACAGGAAGAAGCGGAGGGCCTTAAGGCCATCTGCATGGGGAATGCAGGTGTAGAGGGACTGGACGTCCATGGTAAAGATGAGGTGTTGGGGACCGGGGAATTGGAAGTTCTGGAGGAGGTGGAGGGCGTGGGTGGTGTCACGGACATAGGTAGGGAGTTCCTGGACCAAGGGGGAGAAAATGGAGTCGAGATAGTTGGAGATCAGTTCGGTGGGGCAGGAGCAGGTGGAGACAATGGGTCGACCAGGGCATTCAGGTTTGTGGATTTTGGGAAGGAGATAGAAGCGGGCAGTGCGAGGTTGGGGAACGATGAGGTTGGAGGCCGTGGGTGGGAGGTCACCTGAGGTGATGAGGTTGTGGATGGTTTGCGAGATGATGGTTTGGTGCTCAGGGGTGGGGTCATGATCAAGGGGGCGGTAGGAGGAGGTGTCAGAGAGTTGGCGTCCGGCCTCGGCGATGTAGAGGTCAGTGCGCCATACTACAACTGCACCTCCCTTGTCCGCGGGTTTTATGGTGAGGTTGGGATTGGAGCGGAGGGAGCGGAGGGCTGCACGTTCTGCGGGGGAGAGGTTGGAGTGGGTGAGAGAGGTGGAGAGGTTGAGGCGATTGATGTCTCGACGGCAGTTGGAGATGAAGAGGTCGAGGGAGGGTAGGAGGCCTTGGGGAAATGTGATGGGTTTGTGCTGTTTAAAAATTAGCAAGTGTTAATGCAACTGAAGGTACGATTGGAGAAATGTTGGCGAGCGACAGGGATTCAAAATCAAAGGTGTCATGGAACAGAAGAGAGGAATAATCATGGTTTGAGTGAAAAAGCAAACCATTTGTCTAGGGTAGGTGTTCATGGGAGCTCTGACTGAAAGCAAATACATGAGAACATAATACAGACACTGGGGGAACAATATCCTAAATGGAAGACAGAGTTCCTGATCAGAGAGTTAAACCCAGTGTCCAGTGCAGGAGGCTGTCAAATGCCTCAATGGAAAATGAGGTGTTGTTTTTCCAGTTGCATTGGATTTCAGTGGAAACTGCATCAGGCCCAGGACAGGAATGTGACCGTGAGAGGATGTTGGGGCATTGAGATGACAAATAGCCAAAATCTCAGGATCATGCTTGTGGACTAACAGAGGTGCTCTGCTAAGTAGGTACCCAGTTTCCCAGTGTAGAGGTGATAGATTGAGAACAGTGAATACAATAGACTAGACTGAAAGAAGTTCAGGGGAATATCTGCTTTACCAGGAAGGAGGGACCTTGGACAGTGAGGAAGGGAGAGGTAGAAAGGGGGGTGTTATGTGTATATGAAACCATGGGAGAGAGACAAGGTGTTAGCGATGATAACAAAGTGAACCAGGGAGAGAGCAGTCCCTTTGGAATGCTGATAGGAGAGTCAATGGGAGGGTGTGTTTGGTGAGGGTGTGTTTGGTGGTGGCATCATGTTGGAGCTGGTGGAAATAGCGGAGGAAGATCTTTGAAGCCAGAGGCTCATGGAATGGAATATGGAGACACCAGTGAAAGCTGTTGTTGTTCTGGGAAGGAGGGGAAGGGGAAAGTGTAGAAATGTCCAAAATGGGTTGGACACCATGAAGTGCCTTGTTAGCTCAGTGGGGAAGGACATGATCCTTGGTTGAAAGTAAGACATGTTGGGTGCATCATTGTGGAAGTTTCCATCATCTGTACAGATGTGATAGAGAAACTGGGAGAACAAAATGGAGTTCTTCCAGGTAGCAGGGAGCGAGGTTATGTATTCAGGGTAGATGTGAGAATCAGTGGTTTTGTGATAGATACTAGTGAACAGGATATCCCAGAGATGGAGTCAGAGAAGTCAAGGAAGGGAAGGGAGGAGAAGAATTAGAGATTATCCAGATGAAGGTGAGAGAAAGGTGGAAATTGGAGGCAAAGTTGATGACTCTTTCCCAGGATGGATCAGGGCAAGAAATGGCACCAATGCAGTCAATGGTCAATGAACTGAGGTCTTCAGAGTTGGCAGTCCTTTGTTCACATCGGGACTCCGTGCCGTCATCCTATGGATTTGGGAGGCATAGGAATTTCACATTGACTCCAGGAATGCAACATCTTGTCTTTCTCCAAGAACAGAGACGGATCATCAGTAAAGTGATGGAAGGTGTCATCAACAGTGCTATCAAACAGCACCTACTCAGCAATAACCTGCTCAGTGACGCCCAGTTTGGGTTTGGCCATGGCCACTCAGCTCCTGACCTCATTACAGACTCGGTTCAAACACGGACAAAGAGCTGAATACCAGAGGTGAGGTGAGAGTGACAGACCTTGGCATCAAGGCTGCATTTGACCGAGTGTGGCATCAAGGAGTCTGAACAAAATTGGAACCAGTGAAAGTTGGGAAGGTCTCTCTGCAGGTTGGAGTCATACAACGCTCAAAGGAAGGTGGTGAGGATTGTTGGAGGTCAGTCACCTCAGCGCAAGGACATCTCTTGAGGGGTTCCTCAGAAGAATGTTCCTTGGCCCAATCATTTTCAGCTGCTTCATCAATGACTATCCCCTGTTCTGACCTTATGATGGAGGGATGTTCACTGAAGATTGCTGTGTTCAGCACCAATCACAGCTCCTCACATCCTCAAGCAGTTTTATGTCCAAATGTAGCAGCACCTGGGCAATATCCACATTTTGAGATGACAAGTAACAAGTAACATTTATACCACACAAGTGCCAGACTATGACCATCTCCAACAAAAGAGAATCGAAACATTGCTCCTCAACATTCAGTTGCCACCATTGAACCCCCCCCATTGTCACTACACTGGGATTTCCATTTACCACAAACTGACCTGGACTAGCCATATCACTCCTGTGGCTACAAGAGCAGGCTGGAGGATAGCGATCCTCACTTTTTCCACCTTAAGTTCCCTTGACCATGTTCTTGCCCACTCACTCATTCTGTCCAAATCCTCTTGAAATCACTTTGCATCTCTCTGTCACAGCACATGCTCCCACCTCGCTTTGTGTCATCTGTGAACTTAGAAACGTTACATTTAGTCACCATTTCCAAATCATTGATCCATATTGTAAACAGCTGTGGGCCCAGGTACGATCCTTATGGTAGCTCCCTCATCACAACCTGCCAACATGAGAATGACCTGTTTATTCCTGCTCTCTGTTTCCTGCCTGTTAACAAATCCCTGATCCATGCCACTGCACTTCCACCTGAGCCATGTGCTTTAAATGTGTTAAACCACCTCCTCTGATGAACCTGATCAAACTGCATCATGCTGAGAGACCTAATATCTTTTAAAAAGAAGTACAGTAGCACTCAGGATCCTGCTAACTCCTGTGAAATCCGGACTGTTGTGCCCAAAAATCTATAGGTCAGGAATCAGCCTGGTCAGTTCACAAAGACCATGGCAAGATCTCGTGACATCACCGTTGTATCGAGGAACAGCCAATAACAAGGAAGCTGTTTCTAATGTTGGCTGGCAACTCATCTGTGTTGTTGCTTTTTTACTTCTTGATGAGAAGGTGTGTCACATAAGGTCTCGGTGTCAGGTTTTGGTTTGAATCTTTTGATATGACAGTTTTCCACAGTTTATAAATGTAAGGATTGACCAAGACAATTCATGGATCGCATCTGTCATTTCCTGATCTGTATGTCCTCTTACCCTTGTCTTTTAAAAGCAACTGCTTGATGTTTACATTTACAATTTTCATTTTACCACAAAAACACAAAGTCCTTCATCTGCAATGTCTCATCTGTAATCCTCATCTGACTCTCTTATGATTCCCAGTTCTGGATATTTTGTCACCGAGTGCCTCAGTGTTATTTTCAGGAGCATTGCCCTCAAATGAATGGCACATACTTTCTTCAACAATTTTATTGCACTCATGTTTCTTTGTAGACTTTAAAACTAATGGAGCCACAACGGCTCAGAAGTGATATTTTCTTTTTGTCAGGTTATTCTTCTCCCCTACATTTCTTCTACCAATTTGAGAACATTTCTGATGTTTTAATTTAATTTTCTATCTCCCAGTTCATCCTCCTTGGAAACAAACCAGTTACACATTAAAACCCTATGGTACCTGAACTGCAGCATGGTTTATTAATAAAATACCTAATGATGGTAAATTACATATTTGTAAGAGCTGATTTTCATTGAAAAATCATCAGATCAATTCAAACTATTTTGGTGAGAAGATGTGATCAATTAAATTATTTTTTCTCATACTCATGATAATATTTTTGTATCTTTGTAGGACTAAAACTTCAGAAATCATTCGTAGAATGTGGTAAGGGTTTAATATTAAAATGTTCAAAAGCCATAAGAAATGTAGATTTTGCAATAATTGCAAGTATAATTGAACATGCTACATTTATTTTGCCTTTTACTATCAGTCGTCAATATATATTGATGGTGTGACTAATACAATGTGAGACTTTTTATGTTAAAATACTTACTCAGGCTTAGTTTATTTTGACCTAATAATTCCAGGAGAAAACAATTGATAACTTATTTAAAAATGTTTTATACTGAAGGAGTTAGTTTATTTGTGTCTATAATCCGACTGAAATCAGAATCAGATTGAAAGTGGTCATGGAAAAAGAATTACAGATTTAACAGGTTGAGAAGGAAAATGAGAACTATAATTTTAACAGACTTCTATTGTTTTAATTCTAGCAAATAAATGCTTCAACAGTATTAGCATCAGAATGCTGAAATGTATTTCTACCAATTTGTTTCTAATGTGATTGAGATAACACATGATCCTGTGTGTGATATGGAAAACAATGTGTACAATGATGACAATCAATACCTAGAAAAAAACCCTGAATTCTAAGGATCTAAAGTTTGTTTTAGAGAAATCTCTGACAAAATTATATCCAAAAGATACTCTTAACTATGGTTATTTGTATTAGTCTATTTCAAACTTATTTTAAGTTGACACATAAATTGTGGATTTCAGCAAAACTTTTGACAAGGTCCCACATGGGAGACTGATCAAGATGATAAAAGCACATGGGATCCAGGGTAACTTGGCGTGATGGATCCACAATTAGTGGGAGGAGACAGAGGGTGGTGGTAGAAGGCTGTTCACAAGACTGGAGGCAGCTGTCCAGTGGCATACAACTGGATCAGTTCTGTGTCCCTTATTGTTTGTGATTTATATGAACAATATAGATGTGAATGTTGGGGGCTTGGTGGGTGTGCTGATGCTTAGCAAGTTTGTAGATGACACGAAGATAGGCTGGTTGGTTAATATTGAGGAAGAAGGACTTAGTTTACCGGAAGATGTAAAGGGATTGGTCAGATGGGTAGATCATTGTCAGAGGGAATTTAACCCTGAAAAGTATGAGGTGTTGCATTTCAGAACAAGAAACAAAACAAGGCAATAATCAATGAGTCATGAACATTCAGAAGCTGAGAGGAACAGAGGAATCTTGGGGTGCTGGTCCACAGGTCCCTGAAGGCAGCAGGACAGGTTAATAGGATAATTAAGGTGGCATATGGGACGTTTGGCTTTAACAGGTGTGGCATTAGTTATAAGAGCAGGGAGGTCATGTTGAAGCTGTACAGCACTTTGGTTAGGAGGACTGTGTGCTGTTCTGGTCACCTCACTATCGGAAGGATGTGATTGCCCTGTAGCGGGTGCAGAGGAGAGTCACTGGGACGGTGCCTGGGATGGAGCATTACAGCTATGAAGAGAAGCTGGATAGGTTCATGTTGTTTTTATTCAAAATAGAAAAGGCTGAGGTGGGCACCTGAGAGAGTTGTATTAGATTATGAGGGCACAGGCAGGGTGGGAGGGAAGCAGTACTGAAGGGTCAGTAACAAGGGGGAATAATTTTAGGTGGGAGGCAGTAGGTTTTGGGTGTATTTGAGGAAAACCCTTCTCACCAGAGGGTGGTGGGAATCTGGAATGCACTGCCTGGGGAAGGGCACGAGAGAGGGAACCTCACAACCTTTAAAAACTATGTCATATCATTCAAGGCTTTGAGCCAAGAGCTGGAATGTGGGATTAGTGTAGATAGGATGGTGCAGAATCTACAGGCTCAAGGGCTTCTTCTGTGCTCCATCGTGCTCCATGGGTTTGGGTGGAATGCCCTTCAGAGAGTCAGTGTGGACTCAAATGACCTCCTTTCGCACTGGAGGGACTCTATGATTCAAAGTGCATTTGGCTGGGAAATGTTCATTTCTCACCCTGTGGCTTGTAATATTTTATATCTTAGGTATTTTTGTTCAAATAAATGTTCTTCTGCTGAAACAGTTGCTGCCCCATGGGCTGTGTCATTGTGTGAGAAATGGTTACGAGAGCAAACTCTTGTCTGTCTGTAATCAACAACAACAGTTGCAATTTCTGGGTGAGAACAGAAAGAGAGGAGTTAAAAGGAGAGACGATAAGTGTTGATAACAGACTGAGAAAGAACTTGCTCTTACAAACAGTCATAGTGATATACAGCACAGAAACAGACCTTTCAGTCCAACTCGATGCCAACCAGATATCTTACATAAATCTAGTGCCATTTGCCAGCAATTGGCCGATATCCCTTTAAGCCTTTCCTATTCATATTCCCACTCAGATGCCTTTTAAATGTTACAATCGTCCCAGGCTCCACCACTTCCTCTGGCAGCCCATTCCATACACACACCACCCTCTGTGTGAAAAAGTTGCCCCTTAGGTCCCTTTTATATCTTTCCCCTCTCACCTTAAACCTATGCCCCTCTAGTTTTGCACTCCCCCGAACCCAGGGAAAAGACCTTGCCCCTTTACCCTTTCCATGTCCCTCATGATTTTATAAACCTGTGCAAGGTCACCCCTCAGCCTCCAATATATTATTTCTCAGGAACTTCCCAAGCTCTTCGCTGTCAATGGATTACTTTTGACATGATTGATATTGTTCAGCAACTTTTATATCGCTCATAATGTTGACTGGTTTAATTTGTTTGAAAAGGATAGATTACATTCAATTTATAAGCACACAATGTGGCAAAATTGGAATGATTATGCTAATTAAATTTTTTATTTTTAAAATTAAATTCCCTTCTACTTTATAAATCATTGGAGAGCTCTTGTGGAGTTGGATTTTAGAATTACACAATGTTACAGCACAGAAGGGAGTCATCCAGTCTGTCTTTCTGTTCTGACTCTCTGCAACAACAATTCGTTATTGTCACTCATCCGGTGTTTCCCTGCAGCCCCGCAAACTGACACTCTTCAGGTAATCGTCTCATTCTCTTTTGAAAGATGTGATTGTTTCTGCCTCCAACAGACTCTCAGACAATGAATTCCAGATCCAGATTCTGTACAAAAAAGATTTATATTTGATTGATGAGTGTCTGAAGGGCAGGAGTTGACATTGAGCTGGCACGGGGAGTATCAGAAGGGGCATGGGAATTGTTTTGGGAGATGAGTTGGCATGGGGATTGGGTGAAGGAATTAGAGAGTTCAGGGGTAGAGAGCCCCTGGTTTTATCACAGCTGGGGGAGGAAGTCCCAGAGAACCAAGGCAGGGCTTCTAACCAGCCCATTTCAGCCCTCACCTACTGCCTTGATGGCTCAGGATCTGTTTCCAGGATCAGTGAGGCCCCACTCTGTCCCAGACTTTCCCACTGCACTCACGCCCATCTCATATCCCCAACTCCCACACCCTGACCCACCACTGCCTTTGGAGTGAAAATTGCACAATTCAGGTTCTTTTTACTGAAGCGAGTCCAGAAACGTCCCGACTGGAGCTATCTGCCTCAGGAATACTCGTCAAAATTTGGTTCTTAATTTCCAGTTTGTAATGAGCAATGCCACAGAAAGTGTATTAAGCAGTATCTACCACATTCAAACATGTCTGTTCAAAACCTTTCTCCAAATTATTTATGCTTCATGTCACAGCAAGTTCTTCAGTCTATTTATGATTTCTGTTTCCAGAGTGGAAGAGAATTTGTGCGTATAAAGGTAAGATCTTAACTTAAAAATATTTTAACACACAGAAAGGAAAGAAACTCAAAAGCTGACAACTCAAAACAATGTACAAGTGAAAATTCCATAAGAACATGTATCCATCAGAAACAGGAGCAGGACTGACCCCGGGAGTTTTCTCTGTCATTCACAAAGATCGTAGCTGATCTAGAGATAGTAGGAACTGCTGATGCTGGAGTCTGAGATAACACGGTGCGAAGCTGGAGGAACACAGCAGGCCAGGCAGCATCAGAGGAGCAGGATAGCTGACGTTTCGGGTCTGGATCCTTCTTCAGAAATGGGGGAGGGGAAGGGGGCTCTGAAATAAATAGAGAGAGGGGGAGGCTATGGTAGAAGGTGGATAGAGGAGCAGATAGGTGGAGAGAAGACAGACAGGTCAAGGAGGCGGGGATGGAACCAATAAAAGTGAGTGTAGGTGGGAGTTGGGATGGGTGTTGGTCAGTTGAGGGAAGATGGACAGGTCAAGGAGGTGGGGATGAGGCTAGTAGGTAGGAAGTGGGGGTGGGGTTTGGTCAGTGAGGCGGGAGGAGCAGATAGGTGGGAGAAAAGACGGACAGTTCAAGGAGGCGGGGACGAGAGGGGCAGGTCTTGGGATGAGTTCGAGGGTGGGGAGAATTTGAAGCTTCTAAAGTCCACATTGAGACCATTGGGCTGCAGGGTTCCCAGGCAGAATATGAGGTGCTGTTCTTCCAGCCTTCGGGTGGCATCGTTGTGGCACTGGAGGAGGCCCAGGATGGATACGTCGTCCAAGAAGTGGGAGGGGGAGTTGAAGTGGTTCTCGACTGGGACGTGCAAGTCGTTTGTCACAAACCGAGCGTAGGTGTTCCACAAAGCGGTCTCCAAGCCTCCGCTTGGTTTCTCCGATGTAGAGGAGGCCACATCGGGAACAGCGGATACAATATACCACATTAGCAGATGTGCAGGTGAACATCTGTTTAATGTGGAAGGTCTTCTTGGGGCCTGCGATGGGGGTGAGGGGGGAGGTGTAGGGGCAGGTGTAGCACTTCCTGCGGTTGCAGGGAAAGTGACAGGGGTGGTGGGGCTGGAGGGGAGTGTGGAGTGGACAAGGGAGTCACGGAGAGAGCGGTCCCTCCAGAAAGCAGATAAGGGTGGGGAGGGAAATATATCCTTGGTAGCAGGGTCAGATTGCAGTGGCGGAAGTGGCAGAGAATGATGCTTTGAATCTGGAGGTTAATGGGGTGATCCATGAGGACGAGGGGAATTCTGTCTTTCTTGTTATTGCGGGGAGAGAGTGTGAGGGCTGAGGTGCAGGAAACGCAAGCGATGCGGTCGAGGGTGTTTTTGACCACTGAGGGGGGGAAATTGCGGTTCTTGAAAAACGAGGACATCTGGAATTTCTGGGAGTGGAACACCTCATCTTGGGAGCAGATGCGGCGGAGGCGAAGGAAGTAGGAATAGGGGATGGCATTTTTGCAGGAAGGTGGGTGAGAGGAGATGTATTCTAGGTAACTGTGGGAGTCAGTGGACTTGAAATAGATATCAGTTTCCAGGTGCTTACCAGAGATGGAGACAGAGAGGTCCAGGAAGGAGACAGAGGTATCAGAGATGGTCCAGGTGAACTTAAGGTTGGGGTGGAAGGTGTTAGTAAAGTGGATGAACTGTTCGAGCTCCTTGTGGGAGCACGAGGCGGCGCTGATACGTCATCGATGTAACGGAGGAAGCGGTGGGGGATGGGGAACAGTGTAGCTGAGGAAGAGGGATTGTTCCACGTATCCTACAAAGAGGCAGGCATAGCTTGGGCCCATGCGGGTACCCATGGCCACCCCTTTTGTCTGTCGGAAGTGGGAGGAATTGCAGGAGAAGTTGTTAAGGGTAAGGATGAGTTCGGCTAAGCGGATAAGGATGTCGGTGGAGGGGGACTGGTCGGGCCTGCAGGACAGGAAGAAGTGGAGGGCCTTTAGGCCATCACATGGGGAATGCAAGTGTATAGGGAGTGGACATTCATGCTGAAGATGAGGTGGTGAGGGCCAGGGAATTGGAAGTTTTGGAGGAGGTGGAGGGCGTAGGTGGTGTCACGGATGTAGGTGGGGAGTTCCTGGACCAAGGGGGAAAAAATGGAGTTGAGATAAGTGGAGATAAGTTCGGTGAGGCAGGAGCAGGCGGAGACAATGTGTTGACCAGGGCAGTCAGGTTTATGGATTTTGGGAAGGAGATAGAAACGGGCAGTGCGGGGTTGGGGAACGATGAGGAAGGAGGCTGTGGGTGGGAGGTCACCTGAAGTGATGAATTTGTGGATGGTCTGGGAGATGATGTTTTGGTGGTCGGGGGTGGGGTCATGATCAAGGGGGCGGTAAGAGGAGGTGTAGGAGAGTTGGCTCCTGGCCTCGGTGATGTAGAGATCAGTGCGCCATACCACTACTGCACCTCCCTTGTCCGCGGGTTTTATGATGAGGTTGGGATTGGAGCGGAGGGCTGCACGTTCTGCAGGGGAGAGGTTGGAGTGGGTGAGAGGGGTGGAGAGGTTGAGGCGATTGATGTCTCGACGGCAGTTGAAAATGAAGAGGTCGAGGGAGGGTAGGAGGTCATAGGGTGGTGTCCAGGTGGAAGGGGTGTGTTGGAGGCGGGAGAAGGGGTCAGTGAAGGGAGGGTTAGACTCGCGATTAAGGAAGTAAGTGCGGAGATGGAGGCGGAGGAAAAGCTGTTCAATGTCCAGGCGTGAGTCTTCCAGAGGGACCACTGTCTCCATGACTCCCTTGTCCACTCCACACTCCCCTCCAACCCCACCACCCCCGGCATCTTTCCCTGCAACCGCAGGAAGTGCTACACCTGCCCCTACACCTCCCCCCTCACTCCCATCCCAGGCCCCAAGAAAACTTTCCACATCTACCAGATGTTCACCTGCACATCTGCTAATGTGGTATATTATATCCACTGTTCCCGATGTGGCCTCCTGTACATCGGGGAAACCAAGCGGAGGCTCGGAGACCGCTTTGTGGAACACCTACGCTCGGTTCGCGACAAACGACTGCACCTCCCAGTTGTGAACCACTTCAACTCCCCCTCCCACTCCTTCAACGACATGTCCATCCTCGGTCTCCTCCAGTGCCACAATGATGCCACCCAAAGGTTGCAGGAACAGCACCTCATATTTCGCTTGGGAACCCTGCAGCCCAATGGTCTCAATGTGGACTTTACAAGCTTCAAAATCTCCTCACCCCCAACCTCATCCCAAGACCAGCCTATCTCGTCCCCGCCTCCTTGACCTGTCTGCTCTCCACCTATCAGCTCCTCTATCCACCTTCAACCATCGCCTCCCCCTCTCTATTTATTTCAGAGCTCCCTTCCCCTCCCTCATTTCTGAAACGTCAGCTTTCCTGTTCCTCTGATGCTGCCTGGCCTGCTGTGTTCATCCTGCCCTACACCTTGTTATCGTGGGTGATCTGATTTTGATCTCAACTCTGTTTTCCTGCCTGACTCCCACTACCTTTGACTCCCTCATTGATCAAAAACCTGTTTAACTCAGCTTCAAATAATATCAGTGACCTGGCCTCCACTGCTCTCGGGGATAGAGAATTCTAAAGATTCATGATCCTGAGACACAAAATTCCCAAGTTCATTGGCAGACTCCTTACTTTGAAACTGTGTCCCTGGTTCCAGATTCCCCCACGATGGGAAACAGCCTCTCAACATCTACTCCATCAGCAGCTTCACAATCTGGTACATTTCAATAAGAACCTCTCATTCCTCTGAACTCCAATAAGTATAGCCCCAGCCTGAAATCTTTCATCACAAGGAAACAGCTTCATCCCAGGCATCAACTGAGTGATCCTTCTCTGACCTGTCCCCACTGTTTCAATAAAGCTCTTTCTCAATGGCCCCTACTTCAGTCCAACCAGTGCCAGTTGAATTCCTTTCGATGGCATTGGGTTTCAGGAGGTTTAGTTGGTATTTTGAGATCAGATTCAGCATTTCAGCTTTCAATTTTGTGAAAAACACATTTCACTCCCACATGAGATTGGAAAATAATAAATGTCAGTGGGACTCGAACAAACAGGAGCTTGTTGGAGCAATATTCCATTGGATGTAAACTTAGAGAAAAAGCCTGAAAAAGGTTGGAATAACATAAAAGCAGTGGATTTAGAAATTTTTGGAGACATGAGCGACATGGATTTGAATAATTTATTTGTTTTTTTCGATTATTTTTCATTTGCATCATTTGGGGTCACTATGAAGATCCACATTTATTACCTGCCTCAAACTACACTTCACAATGTGATGATAAACCACATTCTTGTGTCCTCACACACAATCCTCCCACACATCCCTCCCTCCACACACATCACCCCGCCACACACGCACCCCACCACATACACCCTACACTTCACCCCAACACAAACGTCTGCACACACACACACAGTACAAAACACACATCCACACACACACACACCACCGCCCATCGACACCCATATAACCCACCCGCGACACACATGCTTCCCCAACATGCACTCACATCCCAACCCCATATACACATGTCCCATTCCACACACATATTCTACCCGCCATACACCCATCGCTCCACACCCACATATCCCCCACAAACTCAAATCCCTCTGCTCCACACACATGCAATTCCCTGCCACACATACACATTTCCTCCCCACCCCCCCAAACACACGCACACACACACCGCTCCTCCAGGACACACCCCACACACAGACCCCACCAGGAGACATCCATCCCTCGCACACAGATTAGCCCCAAACACACACATCCCCACTACACATTCCTCCACGACATGCCCACTACCCCCCAACTCACAAAACCCTCACCCCTGCCCCACACACATGTAGTCATGAAGTCATACAACATGGAAGCAGGCCATTGGACCCATCATGTCTATACTAACCTGATTTCCGAAACAGAATTTGTCCTATTTGCCTGCATTTCTCCCTGAGACATACCCCTCACATGTACAAATATCCCCTCCCCACAGATCCAGGGTACTCTACAGACACACACACACACACACACAAAAACCAGAGGCTTCATCGATGATGTTACCTGGTGATGAAACGCCTGCAAACCAAGCTACCAGCTCGGCAAACACATCAACAACCCCAAACGTAACCCTCCCAAAACACACATACCCAGGCCACCACCCACACACCTCCACCCCTTCTCACACATAAACATACACACACATTTCCCAACCCATCCACACACACACATTCCCTCCCACACAGACAGACCATTCCCCACATATACACACATACATGGACACAGACACAAAGCCACACACACAGTGATCGCCCAACACACCTCATACAGCCACCCCAAAACACACACACACATACATTTCCCTCCCACACAACCAGGGCACGCACGCACACACACACACACACACCAGACTCATCCACTCCTCCCTCAAAACACACAATACACTTCTCTCTGACACAGCCAGGCACCTCCCACGCACAGACACTTCACACGCATCCACTCCCCCCCACCGCCGACACACACAGACACCCACTTCACCTGCCACGACACACGCCCCCCCAATAGATATGCACCCACATACACACATCCCTCCCACACAAACATCACCCTCTATGTATACTTCTCCTCCCTCACATACACACTTCCCCCTCCACCCACAGCCCCCAACAGACACATACCGCACCCCCCTCACACATGTACATCTCCCTCCATTCGCACATCTCTGTCCATTCACATATCGCCTCCCCACACTCTCTCACACACACACACACACACACACACACATACACTGACACATTCTCACACACAGACACACAGTCTGACACATACAGACACACACATTCTCACACACACAGACACTGACACATACCCAGGGACTGTCTGTAATTCCCTGTTT